GTGTGGGCACCTCGGAATGATTGTGTTAAGCTAGCACTAAGTCCCTCCCCCGTCCACCTTTATTCCTTTCTTTACAATAAGGCTTTCAAATAAGTCATGGTTGTACGGCAGTGAAGCATCGGTGTTGAACACTGACGTCATGCTGTCGATGATGATGATGATGACTTCCGGTCAGTATATTCGCGCTCTAACCACTTGGTCCATCTCCCCCCAACATGAAGCACGTGGTAGATATTGGAAAATTCAGTAGGGTACATGGACGTCCGGTATGATATAAATGCAATCTAACCGAAAAACCCAGACACTAACCACTTGGTCCATCTCGCCCCCACATGAAGCACGTGGTAGATATTGGAAAATTCAGTAGGGTACATGGACGTCCGGTATGATATAAATGCAATCTAACCGAAGAAACCCAGACAGTAGCGAGATCTTCTATCGAGAATTGCCGCATCTTTCGAAATTCATTCAGTACATCTTAGTACCCCTGGTAACACCAGAACCAGATGACGTTTCGGCGACACCGAAAGTCAAACGCCAAAAGCCCGTTCTTACCCATACACCAGAACCAGGAGCACTGAATGGTTGCGTACGCTCCCAGTGACAGACAAGTTGACGTCAAGTTGGGTCAACAGGGGTCAGACGGCAGGGCGAGTATACACCGCTTTAGGTTTAGTGGACACAGACGCAACCTTCTTTGTTGCGTCTTATGAGGCATCTTTCACGCTTTGTTGAGTAGAGCACAGTGCTGTCTGTTCATGGCGTCCACGGTAGAGCATTCTGAGCAAGAGTGAACGTGGAGAATGGTTGTCGATCATCTTAGTTTGGCACTTCCACGAGCTCAGTTCGGATTTTTTTTCAAAACCTGAAGACCACGAACAAAAAGGGACGTATCTTTAGGAAACGTTCTATCACTCAGCCCTAATCCGAGGTCAGGTTCTCACCATCATCCACAGAAACAGTAAAATGAGAAGCCATCAAGCAGCACATGTTGAAGGCCTTCGAGACAGCCAAAATAGGCGGTACATGGTTTAAAAGTAGAACTCACCCGTTTTTTATCACTGACAGACTTCCCGGAATCCGGGAGCCAGGAGGCAACGGACCATGTGAATATGATGCATACACTAGCAATGAAAACAAGGTGTAGAAGTTTGAAGCGAGTGTACAGTCTTCGTGCACCACCACCGTATTGAAACATTTCAGGTGTAGGCCTGAAAGCGGAAATAAAGCGGTACCAAGTAAGAAAAGGATAGTTCAGCCCTGTTTTACGGTCACCGATCTTCGAGTAAAGGCAGTAACCGAGAGTGATATTATGGCGAACTCAAAGGCTGATAGAGTCTCGTATGGTACTTAGTGGGAAAAAATTCCTGCTATTTAAGCAACAGATATTACATGTCATGACATGGCTGCATGTAAGATATATTTTGAGAGGGCGTTCCCCCTTGTTTTTACCGCGGAGTACAGATTCTTTGTTTAACGACGCGTGTTTCGGTCGGGGTCAGTCATAGTTCAGGATTCGAAGCCTACACAATATGATTTGTCAACTCCATGTCAACCCCAATTGCTTAGACTTCCACTCATCCTACATAGGGTCACTAAACATGATCGGATGCACAAAAAGGACGTCATTCTGCGCCGTTCAATTGAGGAAGACAGTGTGCAGAAAAGCATGTTATCTCAGTTAGGCACTATAACGGATGGAAGGACCATCATTCCATTGTTTCTGAAGCTGGTTCGTTGGGCTCTTTCAAGGAGAATAGCTACTACTGCCCTAGTGCATAAGCGCCCAGTGTGGCTTGGTCAGTAGTCTCAACATCATATTCAAATAATTATGAAGAAGTCCGTCTTTGCTTGGGGGAATCAGTTTCTTGAAGATGCAATTGGATCAAAAATTTTCTATACACCAGTTGAAGTCGTACAATGTAGTTAGCCATAACTTATGGTTTTAGAACCATCACAGGTGGAGCCGTAAAAGATGTTCTAGTAAAAGCCCGCTTTTCAGCAATATGCAAGATACATTAGATCTCAACGGGACAGCAAAAGGCGGTGGATTTAGAATAAACTTGGACTCAAGCCATGACCACCTATAAGAGAGAATGCTCAATTTCACTCACACCTGGGGCGAAATTTGATTCGAATCAGTCCAATTCACTATGTCAACTATAAACCGTGTACCGAGGGTACATTCGTTCCAGCTGCTACAGTTTCCATCACCGAAAATGGAAGAGCGTGGGAGACACAGTTACGCATTGAAGGCGATGGCGTGTCGAGTTAGTTCGGAAACTGAACAGCTACGCAACGAAGGCGATAACTTTGATAAACCAGCACCACTGACCGCGTGATTGAGAAGTCTTACAGCGTTGCTAACTATCGGTCAGTTGAGTCCCGAGGTTCCCACAGTCTGGCTCTTGCTTTTGTCCATTGTTCAAGCTCGTCGGCGAAAATAGATGCATGGCTTTGTAGGAGGTCCTCAAGTGAACACTTCGCAATGAGTTTGTTCGAGGGCACCTCTGGATGCTACGTGCATTAGTTTGAAAATAGAATTAACCGGTTCCTCCCGCAGATTCAGCTGTTTTATCCAACCCAGCTCCATGAGATCAAGTTTATGGCATGACGTCAGCTAGCACGTGACTTGCGCCGTCGAGCCATTGAATTTAATGGAGCAGTCAACCTCACCAGTCAACTTCAGTTTGCTACCAGAAGCATTACGGGCCTACGGTTCAGTCGGTTTGTCGCGTGTCTTACCAATTCTTTTCCACTTTCGTTCACTGAGCAGCGTGACGTCGGAGCCCGTATCAAGCTGAAAACGAACTGAGATGTTGCTAACAGCGATAATAATGTTTATTCCCAACTGGTGGTCAGCATGTTGTCAGGTTTGATCATAATGTTACAGTCAGAACAAATGCGTGACTGGCGTCGATTGTAGGCACAGGTGTTTGGGAAAGGGGACAGCATCACAGGGGGTGGGGGCTATCCAATTTGGGCGCGATCACCACTAAATCGGCACGGGCAGGGAAGCGCAGTTACTACGCGTCACTAAAGAGAGTATCGAGCACGATCGGATCGTTGGGATTTGAAGGTGGTGGGCAAAAAACAAAGCGAGGGAGGGCAAAAAGAGGGTTTCTGCCTTACACATGACAAGAAAAGTGCGAGTGTGAAAAATGAGGAACCAGAACATCAGATCAGGTGAAGCAGCAGAGTTGGCGTCATCCAACCGGTCATATTGCACCAAAACCCAAAAGCATCGTTAAGGCTTCGTGGCCTTGAACTTTGGGCTAATGGCAAGGGTCGCAAAAAGTGTGAGGATGATTAGCGGAGGGATTAGCAAGGCGCATAAGCGCTAACGGGAAGCACAGAAACATGGTGTACAGCGAAACTGTAGAGACTCACTGGTGTCACCGTTTCAGGCTCTGTTGTGCCGGGGGCCGACGGCCTTCCACCCCGTATTCTGAAACAAGGCGGCCGAGATATTGGAATCCTTGTACTAAATCTTTTCACCCACCCTATAAACTATGGAATCGTCGTCTCCCAGTGGAAGAAATCTATAATCCACCCGCATTTCAAATCCGAATCTAGACAAACTCCTCCCAACTACAGGGGAATCCACCATACCCCCTCCTAATGAGAACCCTTGAACGTCTGGTCAAAGGTCCGTTAACCAAGTTCCTACTGACAACTAATGCCATAGATGACTGGCAGTATGGTTTCCTGTCCCAAAGATTTGTTAGTGGTACCAGCTTCACTTTTCGAAACAGCAGCCTACGACGCTGGATACTGCACTGTAACAGTTTACCCGGATATTCAAAAAGCCTTTGACCAGGTTCCTCATGCATCCCTACTGCATAAACTTAGTACCGTTGACATCACTGGAACCTTATTTCAGTGATTCGCCTCCTACCCATCTGCCGAGCGTGGGAGACACAGTAACGCATTGAAGGCGATGGCGTGTCGAGTTAGTTCGGAAACTGAACAGCTACGCAACGAAGGCGATAACTTTGATAAACCAGCACCACTGACCGCGTGATTGAGAAGTCTTACAGCGTTGCTAACTATCGGTCAGTTGAGTCCCGAGGTTCCCACAGTCTGGCTCTTGCTTTTGTCCATTGTTCAAGCTCGTCGGCGAAAATAGATGCATGGCTTTGTAGGAGGTCCTCAAGTGAACACTTCGCAATGAGTTTGTTCGAGGGCACCTCTGGATGCTAGTTGAATTAGTTTGAAAATAGAATTAACCGGTTCCTCCCGCAGATTCAGCTGTTTTATCCAACCCAGCTCCATGAGATCAAGTTTTGGCATGACGGTCAGCTAGCACGTGACTTGCGCCGTCGAGCCATTGAATTTAATGGAGCAGTCAACCTCACCAGTCAACTTCAGTTTGCTACCAGAAGCATTACGGGCCTACGGTTCAGTCGGTTTGTCGCGTGTCTTACCAATTCTTTTCCACTTTCGTTCACTGAGCAGCGTGACGTCGGAGCCCGTATCAAGCTGAAAACGAACTGAGATGTTGCTAACAGCGATAATAATGTTTATTCCCAACTGGTGGTCAGCATGTTGTCAGGTTTGATCATAATGTTACAGTCAGAACAAATGCGTGACTGGCGTCGATTGTAGGCACAGGTGTTTGGGAAAGGGGACAGCATCACAGGGGGTGGGGGCTATCCAATTTGGGCGCGATCACCACTAAATCGGCACGGGCAGGGAAGCGCAGTTACTACGCGTCACTAAAGAGAGTATCGAGCACGATCGGATCGTTGGGATTTGAAGGTGGTGGGCAAAAAACAAAGCGAGGGAGGGCAAAAAGAGGGTTTCTGCCTTACACATGACAAGAAAAGTGCGAGTGTGAAAAATGAGGAACCAGAACATCAGATCAGGTGAAGCAGCAGAGTTGGCGTCATCCAACCGGTCATATTGCACCAAAACCCAAAAGCATCGTTAAGGCTTCGTGGCCTTGAACTTTGGGCTAATGGCAAGGGTCGCAAAAAGTGTGAGGATGATTAGCGGAGGGATTAGCAAGGCGCATAAGCGCTAACGGGAAGCACAGAAACATGGTGTACAGCGAAACTGTAGAGACTCACTGGTGTCACCGTTTCAGGCTCTGTTGTGCCGGGGCCGAACGGCCTTCCACCCCGTATTCTGAAACAAGGCGGCCGAGATATTGGAATCCTTGTACTAAATCTTTTCACCCACCCTATAAACTATGGAATCGTCGTCTCCCAGTGGAAGAAATCTATAATCCACCCGCATTTCAAATCCGAATCTAGACAAACTCCTCCCAACTACAGGGGAATCCACCATACCCCCTCCTAATGAGAACCCTTGAACGTCTGGTCAAAGGTCCGTTAACCAAGTTCCTACTGACAACTAATGCCATAGATGACTGGCAGTATGGTTTCCTGTCCCAAAGATTTGTTAGTGGTACCAGCTTCACTTTTCGAAACAGCAGCCTACGACGCTGGATACTGCACTGTAACAGTTTACCCGGATATTCAAAAAGCCTTTGACCAGGTTCCTCATGCATCCCTACTGCATAAACTTAGTACCGTTGACATCACTGGAACCTTATTTCAGTGATTCGCCTCCTACCCATCTGCCAGAGCTCAAGTAACACCAATTGGGGACACACAATCATCTCCACTATCGATCACCAGTGAAGTCATCCAAGGAAACGTGCTAGGCCCCATTCTTTTCTTACTGTACATCAGTGGCGTTTCCAATGCCATATCCCATGTAAAGTCTTCCCTTCGCTGACGATATAAAAATTGTGTACGTATTTCCCCCATCGGCACGAGCCCTTACGTTTCACCAGACTAAGCAAGACTTAGACTCGCTGACGCGCTGGACAAACGACTCCAGCCTAAGCTTCTCCTCCACGAAATCCTGCATAGCTTCCAGCCACTGCTCCCTCCCGCCTGGTGCTATCACTCATTCAACGGATATCAAAGAACTTGGCCTCAGATACTCCTGTACGCTCAACTTTTCCCACCAGGTGCAGTACCAGGTTGCCCGAGCACGCAGGTTCAGTTTTTTAATACTGCGCTCCTTTCAGCTTTCAGACACAATGGTTGTAATTTTTAAGCTATGCGTACGACATATCGTCGAATTCCGTCCTATATTCTCCTCCCTTTACACCTAAAGTTGTAGGCTCGTACTTGAAGGCGTCCAACGCTCATTCACGAAAAAGCTATTCGCTCGGTCAAACCCTCTCTCTTAACGCTCCGGCTGTC